TTTTTTTTCATGCTGAGCCTTTTCTTCTATTTTGGGTTTGTTTTTCACTTTTTCTTATCTTAGTTTTGACAGTTGAGGTACTTTTTCCCCCTTCCACCTGAACTGATTATAATTTTACTTTCCACTTTTGTAATGAAACTTCGTGAACCATTGACATGTGTTATTATTGAGGCAAGTGATTTTAATGATTGAATAATGCCATTTCGCCATATTGTATTTGATATGATGGTGGATATATTTTGAGTTAGATTTTAAAAGTGATGTATAAATTCTTAAGATTGTGCAAATTTGCAAACTTGTGCAGAATCTACAAATTTTTACAGTTTGTATTAATTTTTCAACTAGTGCATGGGTCGTGCGACGCACGGGAAAACAATACTAGGATTGTATTATAAACTAAATATATAAATAACATTAATCATGATTTATCCATTGCTTTTAAATTAAATTGGGTTAGACATCAGTCCGACCGGATGGACCGAGAATCGGTTTATAATCAATCTAGTTCGCTTAAATAAAATATTTACTCTCGAATCCGTCAACACCAGTCGGTTGGACTGGTAGGATTGATACGATTTTTTAAATAAATTTTGTTATATTTAAAATTATTTTAAATAAAATTATATATTTAAATAAAATAATGATTTATAACTTATTTATTAATTAGTTTAAACATTTGAATTTATAAATTGCTTAGATATTTAAGTAACACATTTTATTTAAATTTATTACAAAAACTAATATATATATATATATATATATATATTAAAATGTTTATAAATTAAAATCTGAACAAACCACAAATAATTTAATAAAATAGTTTGATCGTTTCGATGACGGTCTAGTTCTGAAAACCTTATATTTACTCTATATTAATAAATAATATAATAAAATATTATTTAATTTACATAAATATTAATAAAACGATATATAAATATTCATAAATCATTAAACATTTTGTCATAAAAGTATTGTTAATACGATTATTTGAAATTTGGACTACATCACATTCACGTAATAAAATATTTTCAATATAAAATTTATATTAGGTTCAATATCGATTTGGTGTGGTCGAACTGATACATAACTTAGTCACTTGGGACCAACCAAGTTGTGTCAAGTTTTTTAACTATTTTAAATATCACCTAAAAGTAATTCAATCAACCTGGGCAGTACTCTAATTCAATCACCCGATTGATCCGAAGAAAATTTCTCATTTTCTTTAAATATATTTAATTTAATGAAATAAAAATATTTTATAATTCATATAATAAATGTCAACACAAAATGATAATATATTAAGATTATAAATTATATATCAAAAGATGAATTAATTATTTTTACTTTATGCATATTAATAAAAAAATAAACATGGTAATTTTCAATAAATTAAGATTAATTGATTGATTATATGCAATTTAAAGAATATTTTTAGCGTTCAATATTTTTTTAAAGGCACAAATATAAGACCGAGATTCTAAATTTTTTTTTATATTTTGAATTGATATTTTATAAATGAGTAATGCTATAAGTACATAATATTGTATATAAAGGTGTACATAACACTCACATTGAGTAGGACCTACCAAAAATAAAAAATTAAGTGGGCCTCACTCCATGTGAGTGTTATGTACATATCTATGTACATTTATTATGTACATGTAGCATTTTCCTTTATAAATATTGAGATCGAGATTTTAATGTTGTTCGTTCTTTCTAAAAAAAATAATACAAATAAAACATACACACTTAATAAATCTTAGTCGGATTTTTTAAATAATAAAATGAACTAAAGTCCAAAATTTAAGGTACCATTTAATGTTGTAGAATTTTTTAAGAAAAAAATAAAAAAAATAATAAAATTTATTATTTATAGACTGCATTAAATTCTGACTTATTTTTTTACTATTATTTTTGGTAAATAATAATTCTTATTATATATATATAGATTATAAGCCGACATTTAATTATTTAAATCCCTACCAGCCCTGCTTACTCACTGTGTGCTTCGTGTAGAACTTCAGATTCTGTCTAAATAATCATTAATTATTGTGTAGAGAGAGTGAACATGAATTTTTTTTATTTATAAGAGATCATGACTTGCACCAAAAAGGCAAAAACAAACTTTTTTTTTTTATATAAAATTTAATTGAGATGGGACTTTAGAATAGAAACTGAAAAATATTTCAGAAACTGCATGAAATTACACAGTAGGATCTGATCTGGGATCGCATTTGTTTATTTCAGTCTCACCGCACATTGATGACAATGTTAGCTCTGTCTTGTTTATTCTTTTTGTCGGAAATTGAGCTCGGCTAGATTCAAATTTTTTTCTTAAATCAATGCAAGTTGGTCAAATTACCTGAGAAATAATGCTTTATCACCTTTAACTAAAATGTGTTGAGCCAGATCAAATAAAACAGTGCGAAGTTTAATTAATTAATAACAGGCAAAAGGAGTTCAGATACATCACGCTTCCGGCTTCACAGTGCAATTTTGAATAGGACAATTTTTTTTATTTGTTTAATATTTTAACTTTTAACTTTCTAGAAATTTAATTTAATTAAAGCCCAAAACCATAAAAATAGGTAAAAAAAAAAATGACTAAAAGTAGGCATCTAATGTTTACTTTAAATCAAATCATTAGTAACCATTAGCTAATCAACACACACACTCAGAGAGATTGAGAGAGAGCTTTCATTTGTTGGGTAATTTGGGTCAATCAAGAACTACCCAGATTCCTTTTTTTTTCTCTCTGTTTTATCTCTCTTTTGATTCAGATTATTATTATTATTATTATTTGAATTATAAAGTTCACACACATACACGCACTCACTCACACAGGAGTAAGTGAGGGGACCGTGTGTATCTTCCTTTTTGCTTCATATTCGTGAGAAAGTTTGTATTTTTTTATTTTTTTTTGGTTTTCGAATGGCAATCAATTCGAGGGTCGACAGCAAATTCAAGAAAATCTGTGTTTTTTGTGGGAGCAACCCGGGTTACAGAAAAATCTTCAGCGATGCTGCTATTGATTTGGGGAATGAACTGGTTTGTTTCTATTTCCAGCTTTATTAAGGAAAGGTTTGAAAAATAAGATGCTTTGGGTTGTTTGTGATTGAGCTCTGAAATTGTCAATTGTATCAATTACCATTAATGGTTTTTTTTTTTCAGCGAGGTTTATTGGGCTGTTTTCTTTTTCATACTGGAAATTTAGATACTTTGTGATGTTATTTTGCAGGTGAATAGAAATATAAGTTTGGTTTATGGCGGTGGAAGTGTTGGGCTGATGGGTTTGTTGTCTCAGAGAGTGTATGATGGTGGTTGCCATGTTCTTGGGTAAGAGTTTTGGAGAGAAAAAAAGAAAAAAAAAATGAATTATTATAATTTTGATCCAAAATCGGATTTTTTTGGTCGATATCGTAGTCTTAACTTGATTGCTGTTTTGCCTTTTCACATGCAGTGTAATCCCAAGAGCTCTAGTCCCCATTGAGGTACATGGTCCTGTATTTTGCCACGGCTTTTTCGTTATTCCGCGCATAATCAACATTTTAATCTCGAATCTTAACTGTGGAGATTGTAAAATTTGGTCGAAATAGCTAGGATCTTGCTGTTTTCTGTGAATTTTGTTGCTTACCATTTTTACTTGTGCATATTATATATGGAAACTTCATGGGGTGTACGGAAATTAATTAAGGTTATACAATTAGTTAAGATCCATGAAGCAATATGCATAATAAGTTATATATCAATAGATATCAGGAGAGACTGTTGGGGAGGTTAAAGTTGTTTCCGACATGCACGAGCGTAAAGCGGAAATGGCTCGGGAAGCTGAAGCCTTTATTGCTCTTCCAGGTAAAAACTTCAAATTGACAGAAATAAGTCAATAGGTAAAATAGGAATACCATATTTTATTTTCCCTTTTTTTTGAATAGTCTTAGTTTGAAGCTTATGTATCGTTTCTTGAACTATTAGGAGGATATGGGACCATGGAGGAGCTAATGGAGATGATAACATGGGCACAACTTGGAATTCATAAAAAACCGGTGATACATCAATTTTTACATTTGCAAGTTTATAAAAGTTAGTTGCCCTTTTTTTTTTAATACAAAACATTATTTTGGTATTTCAGGTTGGTTTGTTGAATGTCGATGGCTATTACGATGCATTGCTCACATTATTTGACAAGGGTGTTGAAGAAGGCTTTATAAAGCCAAGTGCTAGGAAGATAGTTCTTTCGGCTCATACTGCCAACGAACTTTTAACAAAGATGGAGGTAATTTCTATCTAAATCGTGCTTTTGCAAAAACTTGCGCGTTTTAGAATCAGAAATCTAAAACGTCAAGTTTTAACGAATTTTTATTTATTTATATTTTTAGCAATACACTCCATTACATGATGATGTTGCCCCTCATGAGAGCTGGAAGATGGAGCAACTGGGTAGTTACCCGACCGAAAGGAAAATATGATGGGATTCTTGTTTAT